TTGAGATTCGAATCACTCCACAAGCAAGATTGATCATGTCGAGCTTGAATGATTCTACATGCAACCTAAACTACATAGAGTTGCAAAGAAACTTAGCCATTGGCTAAAGAAAAGCACAAATGCTTCTTTTGATATATCTTCTAAGTCTTAATACAAATACAACATAGATGGCTTTATATAGCCTCAAAATGAAACTATTAAAGGCATTCCAAAAGTTGTAACATTCACACTTTATGGCCATAATTAGCCATTATGTAAATGTAATCGAAATTAAATAAAATGTCTTAAAATACAATAACTCTAAATTATAACCCACCCAAAATTTACAACAATCAAACTTTATTCTTCTTCAATGTAGCATGAATTGAAACATCTTTTGATAATTTTGACAATCTTTTCTTCACATCTTCATTGAAGCATATTGTATGATTGATGTCTCTTGGTTCATATCATTCTCCACTTCTTCAAGAGGATTCGTCCTCGAATCTATTTGTGAAACTTTGCTGCAAAAAATAAGTTATGGAAATACGAAGGACCTCACAACACTCTCTCACGAGTATACACTCAAGGATTTTTAGGCCACTCTGTTTGCACTCATGTACACAAATGAAGCTCTCATTCTCACCTCTCAAAATTGTAAATAGAGCAAAGATTGAATTTTGAACTTTGGGTCGATTAAAAACTAAAAAGATGAAAATAAATAAAAATCAAATTGAGAAGAAACGCAAAGGAAACATATATCCGATCTTGAGCCTGAAGCTCTGATACCAAGTGATATGATAAGGAATCAATATAAGGGGAATAAGATTCGGATTACCTTGTTGATCGAATATCTCAAGCCAAGAACACTTTGTTTGAGATTCGAATCACTCCAGAAGCAAGATCGATCATGTCTAGCTTGAATGATTCTTGTTGATCAAATATCTCAACCACTTGTTTGAGATTCGAATCACTCCACAAGCAAGATTGATCATGTCGAGCTTGAATGATTCTACATGCAACCTAAACTACATAGAATTGCAAATAGTCATTGGCTAAAGAAGAGCACAAATGCTTCTTTTACTATATTTTTCAAGTCTACCTTACAAATACAACATACATGGCTTTATATAACCTCAAAATGAAACTAAAGACATTACAAAAGTTGTAACATTCACACTTTATGGCCATAATTAGCCATTATGTAAATGTAATCGAAATTAAATAAAATGTCTTAAAATACAATAACTCTAAATTATAACCCACCAAAAATTTACAACAATTAAACTTTATTCTTCTTCAATGTAGCATGAATTAAAACATGTTTTGATAATTTTGATAACCTTTTTTTCCCATCTTCATTGAAGCATATTGTATGATTGATGTCTCTTGGTTCATATCAGGTACTTTTTTTAAAACAAAATATTAACAATATCTATCCCTAACTAATTATAAGACTATTTTTTAATTTTTTTTAAAAATTTAACTGCAATTTTTAACTCTATGGAAAGTTTAATTGTATTATTGAAACTTTAGAGTATTTTTTTTAATTTAAATTTTTTTGTTTTTTTTTTACTATTTTTTTAAATGACAAATTTAGTATTCACTGTTTGAAAATGTGCATTATTCCTATAAATTTTTTGAGATTGGCGGTGGATCTTCATAATCACCAATCATATAAAAAAAAATAAAAAAGAAACAACAAAAAAAAAATGAATCTTTTAGGGTTCTCTCTGCTATTCATTTTTCCACTTTTCTCTCATCCATTTCTTGCCATTGCTGACTCATCGCCCGACCTGAAGTATTCTCGTAGATCTCTATCTGTCTTCCTCTTCACTTCTCCGCCCCCTCCAGCGGCGTTCCTCTTCACCTCTCCGCCACCACCTACGCGAAGCTTCCTTAAATCTCCACCACCGGCAGCATTTCTCTTACCCTCTCCGCCACCTCCTACGCAAAGCTTCTTTAAATCTCCACCTCTGGCGTCATTTCTCTTCCCCTCTCCGCCACCTCCGGCGGCATTTCTCTTCCCCTCACCGCCACCACCTGCGCGAAGCTTCTTTAAATCTCCACCCCCGGCAGCGTTTCTCTTCCCCTCTCCGCCACCTCCACTACAGCCAATGATTTGATGTGAAGACTGTACAGAAGATCAACCACGCCAGAGAAGATAAGTTGATTGGGGAGAGAGATGTTCTCAAGAGATGAACACTTTTAATTTAAGCCCTTTAATAATGTAACAATAAAATTTTATGATCACTACTTTTGTTTTAAAAATAGGTTTATCATTATATAAATATAACTTTATTTCACGTTTATATTGCTCAATTAAAATTGGATAAAAATAATTATTAATAGAATTAAAAGAAAAATTAGTAGAGTAAAATTGACAATTTTTTATGTATACTGCCAAACACAACCTTCTTCTCGAAACAAGAATTATAGAGGATAAACCATGGAAAAATAATTAAATTTTGAAATATGGGATGACTAGGAAGCAGATAATACTCCAACATAAAATAAATTCATCAAATTCTTTTATACAACCATAGCTTATATCTAAAAATAAATTCATCAAATTCTTTTATATAAGAGTAGCTTATATCTTCTAGAAAAATGGTTAACTCTGTCTGTAAACTTGTTACATGAAAGTTCGAACTTGAAACTGACGTCATGAGCACACATAGATTAACTTGAATTTCAAAAGACAGAATCAAACGTTCATTAAGGATTAAATTCATGACAACAACTTAAGCTAATCAGGTAAGTGGTCTTTCTATCGGCTAGATCGGAAGACTTGTGGAGAGAAGTGTGGGGGAGAGGTGACATTGTTCGGAGAGATAGTTTGGAAAATGGATGAGACATTAGTGGAGAGATCAACAAAAGGACATAAACCATATTGACATTTTTATGCAAACCCATTTTGTCGTCACAAATCTCACCTCTATATAAACTCTAGTGAACAACTAATTTAGAAATACAGTAATAAATGATATTTTTTTGGTTGAGTTTTCCTTGGTAACAAATGATTTATAGAAACTAATTATGCTCTATAAAAAAAAATCTAACCATTTCAATCTCTTTTATTTTAGAAATGAGTTTTCCTTGGTAACAAATGATTTATAGAAACTAATTATGCTCTATAAAAAAAATCTAACCATTTCAATCTCTTTTATTTTAGAAATTCATCTGAGTTTTCCTGCGTAACAAATGATTTATAGAAACTAATTATGCTCTATAAAAAAAATCTAACCATTTCAATCTCTTTTATTTTAGAAATTCATCT